TGAGTTCTGTTAAGAGGACAGAAGTGACGGAGGGTTGGAGGGCGGGCGAGTCCAGGTGTCTGTGCTGTATACAGAAAGGGATGACACCAAATTGGTAGAATGGACATGTGCCATGTTAGTAAAGTTGGAGAGAAGGTCCCTCCCTGTTTCTATGGATAATCAGGCAGATGGGGGGGAGCCCCCACACAGGCCTGTGGCATGTGCTCTTCCTTGTCTTTCTAACTCAGGAAACAACTGGAGTTTAGTCAAATTCATTCAAATCGGTCAGCATCTGAGAGAACGGAGAGTGACTGGTGGATCTCATAGTCTGAGAGGATCCCACTCTGGGTCAAGGTATCATCACGAGGATACACGTGTGTGAAACAGGCAGTGATCCAGTCAGATGGTGCAGGGTCACCAGGCCCACCTTGGGAAGGTCTCAGGAGCCACTGGGAGGAATGGGAGCCTCACACCAGGACGAGGATGTGAATCACCAGTCAGGGGTGAAGTGAGCCCATGAGCTTTGGGGACTGAGACCTGTCCTTCTGCCTTTGACTCCCTGGTTGAGTCATGTAGAGAGTAGGTCAATGGTTTACATGCCCCTGTCATGTGGCCTGTTGGCCTCAGGGGGGAAGGAGCCCTGGATGGGGACCCAGCAGATGCTCTTTCTCCTGGTAACCTGGGAAACTGGCTCATGATGGAGCTTGGACTGCTGCTCCCACTGATTTCTGTGTTTTCTCCTATTGCCCGGGAGGGTGGGACTGGACACAGGTGTTAGCAGGACAATCTGGGGAGACTGCACAGTTGGGGAAGCAGAGCAGAGTAAGGTAGTGTGGCTGGAGTGAAGGAGTAGGCAGATGAAGGACAAGGAGCAGAGAGTCCCAGAAATGCGCTTGGTAGTGAGCAGTGGGGTTACAGATGATTGTATTTGTTACATGTTGGTCCCTGAGCAGGCAGAAGGTGTAGAGTGGGGAGTGAGAAGGCAAAGTCCTTTCCTTTATACCTAGTGGGAGGGATACTAACACATCAGGAAACAAGTGGTTTCAAGTCCAGTGTAGGGAGGTGTGGATTGGCCACCTGAGGGGAGGGGCTAGGTGCTCCCAGCACTGACTCTGAATGTTACTGCAGGTAATTTCATTCTAGAATAAAAGCAGATCAACTCTCTATTTGTTATCACTCCCCAGACCAGAATTTCTCCCTCTGTGTTGGGAACACTTAAGAAGAAAGGATTTGAAGCAATAGCTGGTTTCAGGGTCTACAAATGCATAATAAGGCCCTTGGAGTGGAGGTGAGGATGGGCTGTTACTGCAGAAAGACCCTGGCATGATTCTCATTGGCCAGTCATGGTCTGCGTGACTCTGATTGAGTGACTGTATCCCCCTGTAACTCAGTTTCCCCTGAATAAAACAGAATAAATGGTAAATGGTCTTAGGTTTGCCATGCTGTCTTTGAATGAACCTTAAATCTTTTGCAATTTACTGACTTAAAGCTTGGAAAAGAGGAGCTTCCCAAGTTAACAGCACCTGTTATTTGTCCATGAGAGAGGACTCCCTGGCCAGATCCCTGGTAGACAAGGACTGCCCGGAGTATCTTCTCTTCCTCTCTGGGGATGCTGACCTTCCTCTGGATTCTGCTATGTCCCCCAGGGCAATTGGCTAATGGCCTGGGGGCAAAGTCCACATGTGCTCTCCACACATAGTCTCAGGGGAAGCGGGTTCCATCCCTGCCCAGATGTGGCTCTAGAGGCTGAGCCCTGGCTGGTAACCAGCTTGGGTACCTGGGAGACTGTTGCTCCCAGTCAACCCTGCCACAGACCAAACCCAACCTGACACTGGCTCCTCAGGGACCCTGGAGTCAGGAGCCCTGGGACAGAAGTCTGGGGAGGAGCTGCTGCTTTTTCTGAGCTTTGTGAGGAACCTGGGCGGCCTATCAGTCCAGGCTCTGACCGAGCCCTGCAGGATCTTTCTCAGGGTCATGGTCATGGGAGGGGCCCAGGGGCCTGGACTAAGACTGGTCTCCCTCTGCTGAGTCACTCCCACCATATTGGCCCTTCTCTCTGTGGAGAATGTCCGTAGGGCTAGAATCGAGAGAGGGAACTCTTATTTTAGGAAGTTTGTCTCCACTGTGTGTGTTCTGCACTAAATGCCCAAAACGTGATGCAGAGGGAGATGGAGGAGAGTCCAGGGCTGTCAGTCCTGTGTGTGAAGTAGAGTTCACCCACCCAGCACCCAGAGGTCAGAGAGCAATCACTCACGGAATACACGGAGCTGTCCGGTTACTTTGTTGATCTGAGCAGCTTTGTCTATGGTTTGTAGGGTGTAGTCTCCTGTGTCGTTCAGAGTGACGTTCTGGAACAGCAGGGATCCATTGGGGTATATTGTCTCTCTACCACTGTGTGCAGGCCCGAGGGTAGTTGTTTGAGTGTCTATTACATATGATACGATTTGACGGCTGGTGTCCACTATTTCCCCTTTGTTCCAGGAATAGCCGAATAGATTCCCAGGCAGGTTGTGGACACGGAGAAGCACATCCTTCCCTTCGGCGGCATTGGGCGGCACTGACTCAATAGTGAGCTGGGCAGTGGTGGGCAGGCTCCAGAGGGTTAGGAGTGAGGCTAGGAGGGAAGAGAGAAATTGATCAAGATTTGGAGCGATGTATTGGGAAGGAGAGATGAGCCCTGGGTCCTAGCAGGTCTCTTCATCTCTGTCTTGGTCTGAGTGTGTGTGTGTGTGTGTGTGTGTGTGTGTGTGTGTGTGTGTCCTGTGGTCAGGGTCAGCAGCATGGCCACCAACACTTCAGCACTTCTGAACCTGTTATTTTTTCTGTTTTGAGGACTTTCCCAGCTGTTTGCCCATCTGCCCAGCTCTCCTCCTCACTGCCCTCAGAGCTTTGCTGACACTCAGGGGCACCCCGGGGAGTAGCCTTCACTGAACCTTTAAAGACGCCGTTTCCACTTTCTGACCTTTCCCTGCTTTGTTTCCTTCATGGCACCTGTAGGTACCTGACATCACATGTAGATGTTTCCTTGTCTGTCTCCTCCCTGTAGAACATGAGCTCTGTGGGGGAAGGGGCTTGTCTGATCTTGTTGCACCCCCAGTGCCTGCAACAGGCTGTAAGTACTTGTGGGTGAATGAATAAGTGTTCCTAGGGTCCTGCACTCCCTGGGGTGTATATGCCCATTTCTGAGGTTGGTGGTAAAGACAACGCTTAGTGCCCCTGGTTCATTTTTTCTTGTGTCACCCTGACACAAATTGTTATTATTATAACCGGTTTTTAGAAAGTATTTCAATGATGAATAATTTGTAAAACTTACTATAATTGAGGTGTTCCTGCCCCTCACCACCTCCAGGATTGTCCTGCTGCGGAGCCCCCTACCCCACCCTATTCTGCTCCCGTCCTCTCTCCTCAGGTCCAAACAGAAGCCCTCTGTCCCCTCTCAGAGCGCCGTGCTCCCCAGGAGACCCTGAACCATCTCTGTCTCCCCTCCTCCTGTCCACCCCCAGGGATTGTCCCCTCCTTACCGGTCAGCAGGAGCCCCTGCCAGGGGACGCACCCTCTGTGTGCAGGGGCTGAAGGGGACTCCATGGTGTCTGCTGTCTGTTCTGTCCCGTCCTCTGTGAGAACAGCTTTCACTTCAGAAACGCTCACAGGCACTGCTCTCCTGAAGCGGGTGAGCTGCCGTCCTTTTCCAGTTGTGCTGAGTCTCCTCGGGGTTCTGAGTGCTTCCCCTGTCACGTGGGCCAGGGGCGGGGTCTGTGCCCGGAACCCTTCCTTTCCCTCCCCTCATTCCTCCCTTCCCTGCTTCCCGTTCACCTTCCAGCCAGATTTCAGACCCTGGGAACTGCTGAGGCCCCTTCTATTTTCCACAGTGACTCTCCTCCCCCCCCACCCCCCTCACCCCTCGACCTCCCACACACCCTCTCGCATGCATGACCTGTTTGGACAAGCACAAGCCTAGGACATCAGGGTCCTGGGCATTCCCCACAGCTCCACGTTGCGTGCACAGTAGCGCCCCCTGTCTAACCCTTCTGGTTTATGTTTCAGAGCAGGAGTCCTGGGGTGACATCAGGAACTCTTGTCCCAGGGATGCCCAACATTGTGCATGGGATCACCTGTGGAATTTGGTAAAGACGGTGATGCCTACAGGACACTGTAGAAATGCTGCTTATCGGCTGCCCAGCTAACGTGGATGCACTGCCAGAATGAAACCCATGATGTGGGAGTGGGGCAGTCCTTCCCCCCTCCTGTGCTCAGGGAGGGTCTGACCCCGTTAGAAATGCAGATTCTGACTCGGCAGGTGTGCGGTGGCCAGAGACTCTTCCTCTGGCAAGTTCTCAGGGGGCGCTGATCTTACTGGACTGTGAGGCTTTCTTTCTTCCTTCCTTCCTTCCTTCCTTCCTTCCTTCCTTCCTTCCT